GGAGAGGAATAGGACCTGTGTATGCACTGTACAAACTTCTTGGGAGGAAATCTTGTGCATTTCAAAGGTAGTAAGGCACCTCAGTGAGGCCTCCTGTGCACAGCTGCTTTACCCCTTTTCATTGGGGTGTGTTCATCTTGGAAGTGTAAGTTTATATTGAACTGTGTACAGAGCTTCTAGAGGGCGAGCTGCTCTTTGTACAATATTTTAACTGATGTCTGGAGGTTAGTGCTAATTGAATAATTTAATGGCTACTAAATAAAGCTTTCAAAACTTCTCGCATCTAGTGTAAACTGGTTGTTTGATGGTGCTGACCCTTTCTGAGCAGCTCCAAAAGCAGCTGCACTGAAGTTGTATGGCTCTACTATGGCATGACCTCATGCCCCTGAGCAGGAACTGTCTGTTTATGGGGGCAGGGGATGGGGGAATGGTGCTTTTTTTCTGAATGACCCTGCAGCTCGAGCCTTGGAGGTGGACTGGGGAAACTACTAAGGCAATGAGCTGCTTTCTATTTTTATTCTGTGCTCTGCTAGAATTACCTAGGTAGTGATAAGAGCCCTATTTGCATAGATAAGGGAAGCATTTTCTTTGCCAATGTGTTTGATGTGAGGGCCCAGCTCTTAGACTGTACAAAGCAGAAATTGAATACCTGCACTGGTATTCACCTCCTCGCTCCTGCCTTCGAGCCTCTGGCTGTCACTTCTTGAAGTCTTACTGGTCTCTAATGTCTGTCCACTTACTTACTTTTTCCTGTGTAACTTAAGGTTGATTCTGATCTGTGAGAGCAGTCTAGCTGTGTTGGGTCAATGCTTCAGCAGGTCATACAGCATTGAACATTCAATGCTAGGGAAAAGGAAGCTTTTCATCTCCCCTAGGTTCAAGAGGGAAACTGCTGCACAACCTAAGGTTTTCTTATTTTCATTCTGAAGGACTTCTACTTCAGGAAAACATGGGATTATTTTCAGAGCTATTCATAGTTCAAGGGCCCGGCATACATAAGTGAGCATGCCGTAGTTCTGAAACCTCTAAAGCAAAATGAGGATAATTTCTCTTACCCCTTCCTTGAAACATAGCCTCAACTGTCCTCATTGACAAGCCTATAGTTTAGACTAAGAGTAATTCCTCCAGTTAAAAGTGTGACTGTCTCCTTGCTCCTGAAACTTGGGCTCCTTTCTAGAGTATAATCCAGCAGCATAGACTACATCTGATTACACTGAACTAATTTGGCTGTGAATGGCTGTGTAATCTCTTAATTGTTTGTTGGGTTATGCGTACACCATGGGAGCACAGTGAAGAGGCTGGGCTCACTCTTCAATGGAACAGCTGCAGCAGGTATCTCTAGTCGTATTACACTCCCTGGAACCTGAAAGTTAACCTTCATTATGCTAGGAAAACACAAAAGGCATGGGATTTGGTTCTGATTGCTGGCATTTAATTTTGAGCACTTGCTTTAAGTTATTTGATTTCTTAAGATGTAAATTCCACTCCTGATGAAGTCCAAACAGCCTCTCTTCTCAACCTGTTTAAGAAATAGCATGAATTCAGTAGATAGTATACAATAACAACTACCTTTTGGAGCACGTTACTTGAACGAACTCTTAATTGAGAGTATTTTGCCACACTCTGAATGTTACACTACTCTTGCAGCCTGAACTTTTATACTGTTGTGATATATTCAAGATGTATTAGCAAAAGAGAGACTGCAACTTGGTTACATAGACTGAAGCTAGAGCAAGCAGCAGAGGAGAGCCTGGGTTCAAGTATGACAAGTACTTTAGCCACTCGCCTTGAACCTCATTGTACAGAAACAGGGTCAAGCTATGATTCAGATAGCACAGAACTGTATACAAGTGGTGCAGAATCCACATACTAGCATCTCCGTACGCAAGACTCAAACTTACCTTCTCATGAACCTGCTCTGTGGATTGTGCCAGGTGTAACAGCAATCTGTCCTGTAAAACCATAACTTCCTGCAAGGGGGTGCACAGCTGTTCGATTATCACCAGCTAGTGAGCCTTTCTTTGCAGCCATTACATCATCCAGAGGGATGGCAACTGAGAGCAAAACCGGGGTTGGTGGCCTAGCAGTCTCCTGTGCAGCATTAGGATTGGGGATTGGCGTAGCTGTTTGCTGATCGGCTGGCCTGACAACTGGTACCGGGATTGTAGTGAATCTCCTAGCACCAGTGTCTTGCTGTGCAAAGACAGCCTGGCCAGGAATAAGTTTCCAGTCCTGTGTGTTCTGAACAGTAGAGCCCACTAAAATGAAAGGTGGAACATTTCCCCTCTTGCTTTCTTCTGGCATCACGTAAGTTGGAGAGGATAGTTGTGGTGGTTGACCTTGTAGTGGTATTGGTTGGAGGAACTGTTGTTGATCCTTCCCCCCAGATAGAAAGAGGGTTGCTTGGGGATAAGGAATGCCAGTTCCAGCAGGAGGAAGGGATGGTGGTGATTTTTGACCTTGGCTCAAGTCAGTTAGACAATAGAGGGTCCACACATTAGAATATGGTGGTGGCTGTCCTGCTTCGCTTGCTGCCATGGCTACAAAGATAAAAATGTAAGAGTGCCGGTGTCAGGAGCAGTGCATTGCAGTCATATTGTAAATCCTTATATCTAAAACATAACCTACACTTGTTAAAGCAAGCATGTTAGAGAAGAGCTGGCATAGCAAACGCAGCTGGGCATATGGCTGAGGAACACCTGCAGCCTAGAAAAGTGAAACTCCTTAATGCCCAGAGGTATGTCTGGCTAAGCCTTTGAGAACTGTCCCATTTGACTGGCGTTGCTGAAACTGAGGTTTTAATTTAATTTTTTTTTTAAGAGCCAATATTGTCACTTCACAAGTTTGCCTAACGCAGCTCTCCTCTACAAAATGCTTGGCTGGGACCTCACGCTTCTACAGACGCAAAAGGATTCTGTAGCGCTAGGGAGACTCATGGGGGACCTCTACCCTGGAGGGTTTTTCCAGCTGGGCAAGGAACGAGCCAGACACATCACCAAAGTGAAGAAATTCTGGGTAAGTGCTTGTTCAGTGCGGATCTCACCATGAGAGATGAGCACGATCTCTTCTGGTTTGCAGAAAAAAATCTGCCACTATCTGATGATCAATGCTTGGCCACCCAGCCCAGCTGCAGAAACTCACCAAACCCAACAAGACAGCACAGGCAGGACACCACCACCATTTCTTTTAAATGCAAAACCCCCTATGTTAGTGCTGGAATACGAAATCTTTCAAGGGGAGGAGATGCAAAACTCAGGCTCCCACCAGTCACCTGTCCTTAGCCGCAGGGCACACATGTTACATCTTAGATCTCTGATACCTGCTTCAGAACATGTGGCTTGTTTTGAGCAAGACCATTTGGGTTCAAGGAGCCCCTTCCCATCACTCTTATCTGCACAATGCACAGCAGTGCAGGAGTCCTGCTCAGAGCCAGCCCCATCCCTTGGAACAGATTGCAGAGAGATCTAACACATGCGCATTGGGGCCAGGCAGATGGTGTGGGTACAGGTGTTTCTTACCAGTCATCTCCACCCTTTGCTGCACTGACATAGGTGCTTTTCCATTTAATGACCACGGACCAGACTGTAGGGTGCTATCAGGAAGTTGTCAGAAAACCCAGACTTTCTTACCTGACATGGCATTACCTTGTTCAGCAGATGCCATTTGTGCTGTGGATTCCATTTTCTCAGGGTCACACACTGCGTCATCGGCAGATGGACCTAAGATTTTAGCACATGAGAACTGGCCTGCATTTAATAGCGGCTCAATCTTTAACAGATAAGCTATTTGGTCTAGAGAAAGAATGATTCTTTTCTGTGGAAACTGCTCTATGTAAGGTGGAATCTCTGCATCCATAACCAGCTCATCAGCGTTAACCTCAGTGGTTAAGGTAACCTCACTTTCGTTGTGGGGAGGCACGGCCTGCAATGGAGCTTTAGGAGGTGGTGCTGGTGGTGGTGGTGGTGGTGATGGTTCTTCCTGCAAGGGGGCTGAGGAAACTTGATTTACGTCATTTGTTGAGACTTCAGCCTGGCTGTCTGAGGGACCTACTTCTGCCACGGAGGGCTGCCTTTGCACTCACAGTTGTGCCCTAACAGCCTCTGCCGACCCCTCAGCTGCTGGGACAGCAGAAACATCTTCAGCAGCACCTTCTACTGGTACAAATAAGTTCTCTGAGCTCAGAGAGACTTCAGGAAGAGTCTGCACACTTGTTGCCACATCCTTCACAGCATGAACAGAATCAGTGTTACCTAGCATCTGGGTAGCAAGCTGGGCAGGGTCAGCGGGGACGTATGCAAGTTCCGGTCCCTTCGGGGACGAAGCTTCATCAAGTCCGGTGGGGGATTTGTTTTCTAAAACGTCATTGTGAGTCGATGGGTATTGAGTCATTTTGGAGGTATATTCAGTATCAGGGCCTTCAAGGATTTGGTCTTCCTCTGTGTCAGTACACTTTTCCTTTTGTTTGGGCTCCCCAGGAACTGAAGTGTCTTGCACGTCTAATTTCTGTGGCAGTCTCTCGTTCCAGTCTTCTGCATAGCAAAAGCAGACAACGGCAATATTTTAAATCAAATTACTCCATTTAAATAAAAAATCAAGAGCAATTTTAGTGTCAACTCCACTGGATACTCTAGGGTGCTTTTACAAGGCTTTCCCAGGTTGCAGAGATGGAAGAATTTACAAAGGAGATTTGCTGCTGGACTAGTGATATATATATAAATCCTCAGCCTTGGAAAAGCCAAGGAAGACGTCTGGTTTCTCCTAAGATTACCAAGTGTTGGCCAATAGGTAACAAAGCAACACACTGGTAGATGTAGCACCAAACTGAAGAGCGGGTAAATCTTTGATAAATGATCACAGCTTAGCACTGAGCTGATTTGTGAAGTCATGACTGGATGAGCTCAGGGAATTTCAGAGAAAGGTAACAGCAGGAACTCAAAGGATGAGTGACTCTCTCACAAAACATTCTTCTGATTGCCATCCCAAGCCAACAGGGGGAGAAGCGGGGAAGGGGAAGAGCTCCCTTGCAGCTTCAGCAATTTTAACTAGTGACTTAGTGGCTCATAGGCAGCCCCAAAACCATGCTAGCAACACAGAGGGACACTCCAGAGGAAACCTTGCTCAAGTTAACTAAGGAATTCCTCTTGGGTCATCCCTGTTATGCCTCTAGGGTTATGTGATCACACCATAGCAGGAGGAGACCAGGCAAAGAGAAGGACTACGTGACCAACCAGTACGGGAAAAGGTGAGACAGACTGGCTTGCACTGGAGCTTGGTGCAGGGGTCAGTGCACCATCACATAAGGCTGCACCATCACTAACAGGCATTTGGAGAGAGAATAATTTCAGCCATGTGACATCCTTAATGCAACAATTGCCAATGCACTAAAATTTGGCCTCTGGTGATAAATTTTAAGTCCTGCTGCAATATCAATATCCAGCAGAGGAAGAAAGCTACCTCCCTCAAGTGCTGAAAGCAGTGATCATTGGCTCTTTTAGAGGAGAACCTCATTTGGAAATCCTACAAGATTATAGCAGTATCTGGGGCTTCTTTTCATTGCAGTAATTACTGCAGTGTGTAATCTTGGTCAATAGACCAAGTCTCTCTCAATGCTGGCTAGTTCCAGGGTTACTAGGAAGCCAGTTTAAGTGGCCTTTCTGAATAACAGGTGGGTTTGAAGCTGCTGACAGTCATGAAAACCAAATGACAGAGGCCGAACTCCCTGGGGGAGATGATATAAACAAGCTGTGTGTGCTGAGTGAGGCCAGACATGGCACCCATCACGGCTCCCACACAACCTTCTTGTGCATTTACTGCATGCCACCATAAATTCAAGCCTTTACAGCCAAACCCAGGGAGCTGCTGAAAGCACCAAGCATGTCCCAAAGGGATCAGCAGCATGCAGAATGAGGTCTGTGCTTTTATAAGCCAAGAGCTCTGTTCTTTGCAAACCGGTATTATATAAATGTAATGTCACTATCTGCTCAGGGTGGGCTGAATCCCACTTAAGCTGTTAAAGCTAAAATGCCCAAACGTATATACCCTTGCCTCTGTTCAAGGGGACAGTACAGCATCCCAGGAGACTGGTTCTTCCCACATTCAATGGAAGAAGCGCTTTCTGAAGATGCTTGCTGCTTCTTGTAGCGCACAGCCTATGTGCTTCTTCCAGAGGACCAGAGAGAGCTGGGGTTAAGCCCGTGGCAAATACACACTATTTGCATCCACTCAAGTTGGAACTTTATCTCAAAAACGTCTTAAGAAAACAAAGAATGGTCTTACCGCTAATAAATTTAAATTCTCCAACCAGCTCTGTTAAATCCAGACTGGGATTCCCTGAAAACAGAAGCACAAATTAACCAGGGGCCCAGCAGCACTTGGGCCTAGCTCAGCTCTGGCGATAGCTCAGCAGGCGGCACAAACCTTCTCTGAAGTCAACAAGCTCTTGGAAGTAGAGTGCTGCAAAGCCAGTGATGTTGTTTGGGTTGGTCTGGAAAACAGCTCTGCTCACACCCTCCAGCAGCGTCTTGAGGCCATAGGGAACCACAAACCTGGCCCTTGCAGACAGCATCTTCATCCACTGAAGTCAGATTATGGTTTCTCAACTGTAACAATTAAAAAAACAAACAAACAAAAAAAACCCCCTAAGGTGAGCATCCACCCTGTCCCAGCGTGAAGCGTCCAACTACGAGAACACGACCTCAGCTGCTCCTCTCGCCTTTTGCCAGCAGTAATCCTTTGCCAGGCCTTTCCTCATACGCCTTTAACGTAAAGGAGCATGTACCATTTAAGGCAGCTACGTCTTTTATCCCCCTTTTGCAATCTTAGGCAGCACGAGGAAACGACCAACCAACTAGGAAACCATGCTTCTAACGCAAAACCCCGCAAGAACTTCAAATTCAAGAGCTTTCCCCCCCCCGCCCCGGCCAGTACTTGCTCGGTCTCTGCCTCCGCTCCTCGCCCGCAGCCTCCCGGGCGCGGAGGCCCC